TATGACAAGGATAAATTACACTTGATTTTTTAATTAAATTTCATTTTAGTCCATTTTCTAATAGAAACAATTAAATTTGCAAATTACAACATGTATTTGATTGTAAAAAGTGTGAATGTACTCCCGTGGCCTTCCCGTGAGCACTTTTTTTTATCAAATTTTAATGGTATAATAAGAGGTCTACATTGAAACCATGAGTTAAAATTTATATGCGTAATTATTACAAATAAAAGATGAAAGATTAAAATAAAAATTTGATGGTAAAAAATATAATTTACCCTTGTAAGAGCATCTCTAAAGAGCTCTTTAAACGAGACTTAGTAGTTATTATAGTTAGTATTATCATATTTCGGTTATTCCAACGGACTAGTTATTACAATAGTTAGGCGCTGTTTGGGAAGCACAAAATAAGGCTATTATAGCTTATTTTGACAAATTAGCCTAAAAGCAACACTGTTGCAACCTTTTCCAAAAAAAAAAAAAAAAAACTGCACAGCCGGCAGTGTAGGCTGTGCCTACACTGTCAGCTACAACCCTTGTCCCATCAATAAATAAATTACCATTTTACCCCTTGATATCAATTTAAAAAAATATATTTTTAGGGATAAATTTGTCATTTTAAATTTAAACATCATTTCAACACACTTTTCAATACAATAACTCAACTAAAAAATCATCTCATCTTCCCAAACACAAAAACTAAAATAGCCACTAAAATAGCCAAATAGCCTACTAAAATAACCACTTCCCAAACGAGGCCTTATTTTAATAAAATTCTTCAAGATTAATTACATTTGAAGAGTCTTGGGTGGCTCTTTAAACATTTTGTGTCTATAAATAGGTAAAATAAATAGTAGAGTTGGAGTAAAAAAAAATATAAATAAATAAACAAAATAAAAAATTATCTTTTTTATATTTTGACTAGTAAAAAATAAAAAATAGGATTGAAATTGCTCTAACAACCTATATTGGGACTAAAAAGATAAATAAAAGAATGCATTTACTCGGTTAAGATTGTGTATTAAACAGTTTTCATTTGAGGAATACATACATAATTTATCTTTATGCTTACATTCCTAAAATATAATTCTATAAAGATGGGGATAAAATTAAGAGTTATACTAGGAATCTCAAATAAATTGTCAAATAAATTATCAAGCCTCTCACATGGGTGTGGGACCCACACAATGTGTATCGGTCTCGCACCCATATGAGAAATTTAATAATTTATTTGATAATTTACTTGAGATCCATAGTATTTTCTTAAAATTAAGAGGCTAATCTCATAGTCAAGATCAAGATGCTCTCTTAACAAGTTTGGTATTTGGGCTTTCAAGTTTTAGGTCAAGTTTGGCATCCACTAAATAATACAAAAAGTCAAAAAGTCATTATCCTATTTAAGTCACATCATCTTATTTAAATCACTTCATCTCTCTAACACATCACATCAAACCCAACCCAAACCCAACCCATATAAGCCAATAAATCAAAAAGTGCACTTTTTTAGAACATCCCAAACCAACCCTTAGCAGAGGCTTTTTTGGGAAGAAGTTTAACGCTAATTTTTTTTTCTTTTAATTTTTTTTGGATTACACTACTTCTCTATCTTTTTACATGTTTTTTTAAAAAAAATTAAAAAATTAGTTTTTAACTTATTTTTCAAAAGTTGGCTATTTGACATTTTAATTATTTTAACTTAGTTAAAATAGTTGTGTTTGGAAAGTTAATTGATTTTTTTTTTTTTTTTTGTAGTTGATTTGATAATTGTAAAAAAAAAAAGTAAAATGATTATGAGTTAGATGTAATATTTTTTTATTAACTATTTTAACTTATTTTATCTTTTAATAAATTATTTTAGTTCAACTCTCTTTCCCAAATACTCCCTTCAAAAAAAATACGCATCATAAGAAAAATATGTATTTTGTTGTGCAAGTTATAAATTGTTGCGATGAAAGTTATGATGTGCTCTCAAATAGTTATGAATGATAAAAGTTATAATTTTTGTGATAAAATTATATTTTTATTATATGAATATAGCTGCCTTTTGTTTTTGAAAAAAAATAAAAATAAAAGGGTAATGAGTGAAAAAAGAGTAAGCTTAGGGATCATAAAAAAGAATTATAAAATATTTCATGAGAAATTTTGACATATATAATAAAATACTATACACTAATTAAAAAATATAAAAATTATAAAATATTTTATAATATTTTTTCCATGACCCTAACATTTCTGGTGAAAAAATTTTGTGTATTCAACAGAGAGGTTTGATTCGGAGTTTGGACTTCTTCAGTTTCGGGAAAAAAAACCGTGGACATATCTATCTATCTATACTATATATTAAGGGGTTGTTTGGGATGACCTAAATAAGTATATTTTTTATCTTTTTATGAAAAGATGTACAGAAAAGTAGAGAGGTGATGTGATGAAAAAAAGATAAAAAGATTGATTATTTGGGACTTCCCAAACTTGGCCTAAGTAAAAGGGGATTTTTAACTCCAAGTCTTGTGGGAGTTTCAATCTCTCAATCTAAATTTTTTGATTTTTTGTTTTTAAAAAAAAAAAAAACCTTAGCATTTATTAACTTCTCTCAATCCCCATGTCTTACCCTCATAATAGCACTTTAATGCATTAAGAACAAGTATAAAAAAAAAAAAATTGAAATTCAACACATATGAATTCCATGAAAAGTTCCAACACATATGATTATTATCCCTCATAATCACACTTTAATGCATTAAGAACGAGCATAAAAAAAAATTTTGAAAAGTCCAACACATATAATTATTATCAAAATATTAAACTTTAATATAATATAATAAAAAAAGAAAGACATTTAATTCCTTGAAAAGTTCAACACATATGATTATTATCAAAATATTAAACTTTAATATAATATAATAAAAAAAGAAAGACATTTAATTCCTTGAAAAGTCCAACACATGTGATTATTATCAAAATATTAAACTTTAATATTGTTTTGAGAAGTTGGTAAAAAGCTGAATTTTAACTTTTTACTAAGCTATTTGGCTTTTTTAGAAAATGATTTGAGAAGTTGGTAAAAAGCTAGTTTTTGACTTTTTTAGTTAATATTTGTTTATGGCATCAAATCAAAATAAAATGATCAAAATTCCCTTGCCAAACTTTGGAATTTTAAGTAATTTGTTAACATGGAGGGTATTTATGTAATTTCATAGGACAGCGTTTTTATCACATCCCAAATGCAACAATTGCGTTTTCGGCTGGGTCAGCTATTTTTTCACATCAACAATAACGTTGCGTTTTTGTGCTCTTCCCAAAACAGCACTTAGTTTCAAGGTTTGGATTTTTTGAATCAGCAATGATTTAGAGCACTAATTTTGATATTTTAATGAAGCATTAATGATATGGTAAGGAGAAAAAAAAATTAAGACCAAAACATCACATTATAGTAGATAGGACCCACTATCAACAAGACTTGGTAGTGAGAGTTGATAACTCATCATTCCATTGGCGAATTTCCATATGAAGTTGATGAATTTCTCCAATAAAATGGTGTCTTTTTTTCTTCCACAAAATAATATTGTAAGGGATGAAAATTTATTTCATCAAGAAAATGGATCTCTTCTTGAAGATCCAAAATTTCTTGTTTACGCCATGCCCTTGGTGTGGGGTAGCCCCTGAAACTACAACCCACACTCTTAGGGATTGCCAAGATGCTATGGCTTTTTGGGTTGAACTAGAGGTCCCTAATACAACTTCAAATTTCTTCTCCCTTAGCCTAACTGACTGGATCAATTCTAACTACCAAGCCAACTTTTTTCATTCCTTTTCGACTCTTTGGCCTTTGGTTTTCCCTATTGCTTGCTAGTTTATTTGGAAAAATAGAAATTCCCTTTTGTTCGATCCTACTCATTCTACTATTTTCAAACCCAATAATGTTCTAGCACATGCAATTGAATGACAAATTGTCATGAATTTGCATACCATGCCTTTTAGCTCACCCTCACGTCAGATTTGACTCTTTTATATATGTAAATCATTAAGGTCTAAATTGGCAATATACCATAATATTCTAACAAATTGATTTAGCCCACAAATTAGCAAAAATAGACTGATTCACAAAAAATTGGAGCAGCCACCTAATTTCTATAAGAAACTACGAAACCCTAACTCAATATTAATTTAGGCCACTAATCCGTCACAAGCAAAAATCTTAATTTGGGAGTTTAGGTATGATCATTAATCGAGCACCCCTTTGACCCAATCAAATTATTGACCTTTGCTAATTCATTTTTATGAGATTTATTTCCTTATTTGATTCCACATACTCATTTTATTTCACCTAAGTAAACTGTCTGCTACAACGGTCCGACATGACCCCGTAAACTGTCCTGCTACATCGGTCCGACATGACCCCGTAAACTGTCTTCTACAACGGTCCGACATGACCCCATAAACTGTCTTCTACAACGGTCTGACACAACCACACAGTGTCTGCTACAACGGTCCGACACGACCATACCGTGTCTTCTACAACGGTCTGACACAACCATACAGTGTCTCCTATCCTATTTTATTTTCCTGTTTTGTTACTCTCTCCAAACTCAAGTTGGTTGGTTCCTATCCTCCTTGAGTTTGAGGGGGGCTGTTAGAATATAATATGTAAAGTGTTTAATAATTATGTTTTCTTCTTTCGGTGTGTGTTAATTAGTATCCTATGTGTATCACCTTTCCTCTCTATAAATGAGAGTGTTGTAAATCATATCAATATAATATTCATCAATACAATTTATTCTCTCCTTCTCTCTCTATCAATTTATCTTACAGACCCCATGCGGTTCTGTGCTTGAACACTTATGCTGTGTTTGGTTGGAGAATTTGGGGAGGAATTTGAAAAAAGAAATGGAAAAGGTAGGTAAAATGTGAATATATCATGTCTATATTTCACATTGTTTCACACACCTTTTCATTTTCTCTTTCCAAATCCCTCCCCAAATCCCCAACCAAACACAGCATTAGTTTCGGCGAGTATAATTTGTTTTTCTCATTGGGATTTATAGATTCTGTAATTGTTTACTTGCAAAAGTTTGTATTTTGGTGCATCTTGTCAATAATTTAAGTACTCTGACTGTGTTTTGACTGTATAGCAACCCAAATATTATTCACTGGTTGGGCAGGGCTTCGCTAATTTGTTTGTGTTCCGTCATCGTGGTTTTGTTGGATTGGACTTGTCTGTGCTATTACGCCTCATTTCCTTTTGTTTTTTTGCTTGATCCTTTGTTTAGATTCACATAATATCATTATCTCTATCTCTTTCTTATGAAGGGGAAGATACTGTCGCAACCTGTCTTGTTTTTGCATTTAATTTCAGTATGGTAACTTGTCCTGAAATGACATTTTCGCTTATGGGTGCTCATTTGTATTGATTAATTGTTGGCAGAGTCAAAGGAGAATTTACATCGATTTGTTTGGAATTGAAGAAGGCATTGTGATTTATTTTTTTGAGAGGTAGTGGGAGGCAATGTGATTATGAGAATGGGTGCTGAACAATGGACTACTTCTAACTGATCAATATAAAGATTTTTTTGTTTTTGATGATGGCCTCAAAAAGTGGTGGAAAACCTTCCCCTGAATTGCAGCTGAAAGCTTTTGGTGCTTATCAAACGGTAGAGCCAAATGATTGCAGCAAGCCTTTGCCTTTGTTGGTCTCGGAGAAAAGCAAGCCCAAGCTGGTTGCTTCTGGACAATTACCCGAATCTGAGCAAGCCACGACAAAACAGGTTATCATAGGCGCATTGGAGAACAAAAAATTACCGAATTCTTCAACTAAGAACTCTGATTCAAATGTTTCTTCACTGAGTGTTGAACAAGCATCAACAGTGGAAGTATTTGTTGATCAAGAGAAGAAAACATCCGAGCATGGAAGTGTGAAGAATAGTTCGGTTTCTGCCAAAGTCAGTGATGGGACCGGTAGTTTCGCCAAAACCAGTGGTAGTGCAAAAATTAGTGATCGTGCTGATTTTGTGGAGAGTGGAAAGAGCAGTTTGTGTAGAGGAAGCACAAGCACTGATGTGAGTGATGAGAGCACATGTAGCAGCTTTAGTACCAGCATTAGCAAGCCCCACAAAGCAAATGATTTGAGATGGGAAGCGATCCAAGCTGTCCGTGCTAGTTCAAAAGATGGGGCCATGGGTTTGAGCCATTTCAGACTGCTAAAGAGGTTGGGATGTGGGGATATTGGAAGTGTCTACTTGGCGGAATTGAGTGGAACAAAGTGTTATTTTGCTATGAAAGTCATGGACAAAGCATCTCTAGCAAGTCGTAAGAAGCTTCTTCGTGCTCAAACAGAGAGAGAAATACTGCAATCTCTGGACCATCCCTTTCTTCCAACTTTATACACACACTTTGAGACGGACAAGTTTTCATGTTTGGTGATGGAGTTCTGCCCTGGAGGAGACTTGCACACTCTTAGGCAGAGGCAACCGGGGAAGCACTTTACTGAGCAAGCAGTGAAGTATGCTTATTTCTTAATCTTATTCTGATTTGAAATTAGCTTCAAAACTGAATCTCGTGCCTTTGTTGTGCTTGTTTTACATCCTTTTGTATTATTATAAGTATTTGAACCTCGAAGGTAATCGATAAATACCAAACGTTCCATTCATCTTCCTGCTACAAAGGACTATCGAAACATACCAGTTTCTTTATATTTTGGTAGGTTTTCCTTCTCTAAGAAGAATAAAATTTTGTGCCTTTTTGAGTTTTGATAAGGGGACATTCGTTTTTAAAATTTCCAAGACTTCCAAGTATAAATTTTAGAGTAGTGTTGAGTTTATGCCTGAGATTATTGGTTTAATTAATTAGAAGTGTAATGTTCTTTTCCTAGTTGATATGCCAAGGTCCAATAGTTAGATATAGGCTGAATTAGAGCTTTCCCCAATCAGAGATTTCACCAATTATAATAGAGTTATGCTAACACTTGGGGCCAAATAATTGATAGACTAGCATGAAATATTGTTTAACATTTTTATTTTTTATTTTCTTGTTTGTTTTGGAATCAGAGTTAGATATTTCCTATAGCATTGTTCTTCATTGATGTCGAATTTCGCAATTTTAGTATGAATAAGGTGATGAATTTAAGCATCTATTTTAATTCTTTAAACAAAATTCACAAAAAGGATTTTGAGCTCCTTCACTATAAGTAAGTTGATATGAAAGTTTTAGATTCAATTTCACAAAGAAGATTCAGAGCGACAAAAATATTCCTATAGTGATATTAGAAATATGATGGTTTGATCGTAGCTGAATGAGTGAAATAAATTAGAGAATGGCAATGTCGACGAGAGTGATTAAAATTGCATTGTTAATGGATCAAATATGCTTTCTTCTCATCTGGTTGTTTTCTTCTTTAATATTAAATGAACTTGAATACCTTATTGTCACTCCTATCCGAGACCAAGATACTAATGTTCAAGTCAAGTGCTTCAACATCATAATTTATTGATGATTTTGGTATGAAATAAAGAAGTAATTTGAAATAAAAAAGTTTGCAATGAACCGCCATTCAATCAAATTGCGAGAGCCTGAACATTTTTGTCTTGAGAACATAAACTATTTGATTGAATAAATGATTGTAGCAATTATTGTTGTAATTGTCTTTGCAGATTTTACGTAGCAGAGGTCCTCCTATCGCTGGAATATCTCCACATGCTCGGCATTGTCTATCGTGACCTTAAACCGGAAAATGTCCTTGTGAGGGAAGATGGGCACATAATGCTATCAGATTTTGACCTTTCCCTTCGTTGTGCTGTTAGCCCAACTCTTATCCGGAACTCTTCCCTAGAGTCTCAGCCTCTGAGAAAGAATCCTGTGTATTGCGTCCAGCCATCTTGTGTCGAGCCTTCCTGCATCCAACCATCTTGTGTAGTTCCCACAACATGCTTTTCTCCTCGCCTTTTTTCTAGCAAGTCCAAAAAGGAGCGGAAACCCAAAAATGAAATTGGAAACCAAGTCAGCCCATTACCCGAGCTTATTGCCGAACCAACCAGTGCACGATCTATGTCATTTGTTGGGACCCACGAGTACTTGGCTCCCGAGATCATTAAAGGCGAAGGTCATGGGAGTGCCGTGGATTGGTGGACTTTTGGGATCTTTCTATATGAACTGTTATTCGGTAAAACTCCTTTTAAAGGATCAGGGAATCGAGCCACGTTGTTCAATGTTGTGGGTCAGCCTCTTCGATTTCCGGAATCTCCGGTTGTGAGTTTTGCTGCAAAGGATCTGATTAAGGGATTGCTGGTTAAGGAACCGCAGAACAGATTGGCATATAAAAAGGGGGCTACAGAGATTAAGCAACATCCATTCTTTGAAGGTGTGAATTGGGCTTTGATTCGATGTGCTACACCGCCGGAGATCCCAAAGCCAGTTGACTTTGAACGAATGCCGGCCCCACCGCCAGCATCAACCAGTGAAAAGAATAATATGATTGCAGCAGCTGCTCCTGATCAAAAAAGTTCCGATAATTATCTTGAGTTTGATTTCTTCTAGAGATATTAGCATCGATTGAATACATTTGTATTTATTTTAAGGGGGAACCATGTTCTAGACAAGCTCTCGTGGATTTTTAGTGGTGAGGATGGAGTATATTATTCCTGGATGGTGAAAATGCTATGTCTGTTGTTGCTTCTTGTAACAGTTTCAATCTGTATTGCATATTCATTGCTTGAACAACCTTAGTGTCAGAGTACCAGAAGCATATCGAGCACCAGAACTTTGTTTGGGGCAAATGTGGAGCGATGTGGAGCAATCAATCGTTAAATGCTGGATGATGAGCTTAACAGAGGAAAACTAATTCTCCAGAATTCAATGTGAATGACGCAGATTCACCATCTTATTTGTATATTTTCACAGCATTTTTGTTTAGGCAATGTTTTTCATTTTAAGATGATGTAGCACCAAAACATAAATGTAGCCCTTTTGAGTTTTGAAAGGTTTAAATATATGTATGTATGTGGTGTTTGTGCCTCTGTTTTTTGTTTCTTTTAATGTCATTTCTGTTTTGTATTTCAGTTGTACTACTCCTTTTCTAGGTAACTTGAGGATGCTGAGAAAAGAAAATTACAGGGGAGAGACACTGCCTATCAGGTCCACCATATGTGGGTCTTCTGAGCAACGTCATGAGCATACCTGTTCAGTGTTACTAGTATACTTAGCCTCCGTTTGGGAAGTGGGTTGGCTTTTTAGCTTTTTAATTTTTTTTGGTTATTTTAACCTGGACTTAAAAGCTTGGTTTGGGAAGGGTTTTTTGGCTTTTTGATTTTTTTGACTTTTTTTGTGAGAGAATAGTGTAATGATTATGGATTGGATATGATGTTTTGTTTTTTGTGGCTAAAATAGCTTGTTTTGTCTTTTGTGACTAAAATAGCCAAAAAAACTCACTTTAGTTCTTCCCAAACGGACCCTTTAGCTTGATTGAATCATGTCTTCAACTTGAGGTTGGTTAGGTCACCCTCTCCACATATATATATATATATTGAAGTAGATTGTGAGGAGGCAGTTGAGCTGATCCAAGATGGGCTAGCAAAACTGGTTACACTGGGCATTGGCCGGAGCTGGTAGATTGTTGCTCAGAAGGCCGGAGTGCCTGGTTAAACAGATCCTTGGGGAAGCAAACAGGTGCGGGGATGCACCCACCAATATACGAGTGGAGCAAGGGGAGAACCTACTAGTGGCTGAAGAATATCCACCTGAAGCTTTTAGATTTATCTTTATAGGGGGAACCATGTATGGGAGAGTGAAATGTAGGAAAAGAGGGTGAAAAAATTGAGTAATGATCAAATTGATGCGAATTTTTAAAAAAGAATCCACTTACTCCAGCTCCTAATCAAAAGAGGTAAGTTCTTCGCTCGAGGAGCGGCATACTAAAAAGAAGAAGAAAGGTTTATAATGTCAGAAAGCACAAGGGAATTGCAACGAAGTTGTTGAGAGAAACAAGGATGTTAGATTAAAAGTAACTCGTTGCTTTGAATTTGATATATAACACTTTTCTTTCTTTCTTTCTTTTTTTCCCGAGCATAGTCACATTTAAAAGTTGCTATCGCTGAATTAGCAATCTGAATAGAAGGAAGAAGAAGTGTGTGGATACACACACTCAGCATCAAAATAATTAAAGAAAGAAAACAAAAAGAAAAAAACAGAAAACATGGGATGTGGTCCAGATCAATATGGAATAAAAAAGAAACAACCACACGATGCGGTGAACGTGGATCGAACACGTGACCTTCAGATCTTCAGTCTGACGCTCTCCCAACTGAGCTATCCCCGCCCATATGTCCCTAATTACATGATTTATTAATTATATCAATACATAACCTTTGGTTTAAAACAAGTGCACCGAAACGAATCATTATTTTTCTGATCCGCTACAACCACCTTCACCTCCTCTGGTGGTGCTCTGGAACTGGGACTATCAACAAGATTGCCACGTGAAGAAGGAGAGGGTGATTGAGTCATCATCGCATTGTCAACGTCCATCATCACTTCCTTTCCTTCACAGATGATCTTCACCTCACAGAATTCTGGTGCATTCTGAAGTACCTGATCAGCTATCCCATTTCCTCTCCTAGATCTCAATTTCCTACACCCAAAAAAATAGTGATAAAAATAATAAGAATATAAAGAAATGGGTATTTTGGAAGTAATACTAACCACCAAGAACTCATACATAAAAAAATGTTTACAAAATTAGTGTGATTCATATTCAACTTTGTAAGGCCAGGCTCGCACTTAAAATAAATATGAATCACACACTGTTTGGATTCTTGGTCTCTAGCCTTACTATTATGGTGGTGGATGGAAGTGTTGTGGGTGGTGTTGGAAGTTTTACTTGAGACTGGATTTGTTGGTGCCCAGCACCAGCTTTCTAATGTTGAGGATGGGAATAAGGTCCAGTAATGCCTTTGCCTCCATATCACTCTCTATTAGTATTGTATCCACTTTAACCTGTTTTCATTTCATTTTCAAGCAAAGATTAACATAAACAAACAATTAGCTCCCAAGTGCTATGTGATGTGAGAGAAGAAGTACATTTACACATATATACTAGTGTGGGCACACACTATGTGAGTGTGATCTAGTAGACAAATCATAACAGTTGGCTCAAAACATATTTTTGAGGCTTTGTCACACAATTTCGATTTCTAAAAATGTCCATAGAATTACTAACTAAATAAATAAACACACCAAATCCACTAAATAACTGCTACTTATAATTAGTTTTCAAAATCAATTCATACTCTTCATTCAATAAATTAATAAAAAAATTATATATAAAATTACACAAGCATAGCAGATGGTTTAGTTAGTTGTATTTGTACTAGGTAGGTACCTTTGAAGCAGAGCAGACATCAAGGAACTTTTGAAGGAATTCTCTTCTCTTGCTTCTTTCTTGGTTCATGTGGTTCTCCTTCTGCTCTGGGTTCACTTGACTTATTGGCATCTTTCCTACTGTCATCACCAAAAAGTAAATAAATAAATGTATGGCCTTTTAACTTTTTGTTTTGATTGAGGTGTGTAGAGTAGAGAGAAGCAAAGAAAGTTAACAGCGAGCATATATATATATGTATATATATATATATTAGGAAGTATGAATGCTACAAAAGAATTTTACATTCAGCTAAGAAAAAAAACATACCTAAGAGTTAAAACCATGTTTCCCCCGTCTAGTCACCTTTAACCAACATATTGCTTGTTTATAGGTAGATTCAGAAATTATGAACTAATATACTTTCTCATCAATGGACCGGCCTATCACGTGGCCAAATTGATCACTTAATAGTAGAGGGACACCGTGGGAGGAGGTTAGATGGCCAACCGTATATCACCTACATCTCAGCCCCTTGGGGCCGGAAAGGCTAAGAAAAAAAACATACCTAAAAGTTAAAACCATGTTTCCCCCGTCTAGTCACCCGTGAACCAACATATTGCTTATTTATAGGTAGATTCAGAAATTATGAACTAATATACTTTCTCATCAATGGACCGGCCTATCACGTGGCCAAATTGATCACTTAATAGTAGAGGGACACCGTGGGAGGAGGTTAGATGGCCAACCGTATATCACCTACATCTCAGCCCCTTGGGGCCGGAAAGCTTCTTGGGCAAAGTTACACCCTGGCCAATTGTGCCACATGGCAAATCAGGAGGAGCAATAGTACTACCACCTACCAAGGACACATGGTTGAGGAAGGAAGACAGTTTCCCCAAAAGTTAGTCCTACAAGGAAAGGTATATGAAAATTTTTCTCCTATCATAATCGGTCGAGCAACACTAATGCTGTGTTTGGTAAGGGAATTTAAGGAGAGATTTGAAAAAAAAAAAAGAAAGAGAAAATGTGTGTGAAATTAGATGAAATGTAAATGTATTTTATTTACATTTCATCTAATTTTTTTTCTCTTTTCAAATCCCTCTTCAAATCTCCAATCAAACACAATAACAGTGTCTACCTTCTCGTAGGAGTTAGTTGTTTTTGATTAGTAATCTCTATAGTGCGAAACATAATCATCTTCTCTAAAAAATAAGAATGAAATGACCATATATTCTTTTTTTGTGTTAAAATGACACACCACAGATCCCATAAATCAAGAGAATTTAATTGGTAGGAATGACCCATCCAATTTCTAACTTCTTGTGCATATATAAAAAGGTTTGATACCCAGCTCAAAAACTCTAAAAAACATATGGTAGGGTGGTCTGTCCTATGGATAGAGCTTTGTGTTTGTAGTAAATAAATATATACATATGTATATATATATATATAAATATAAATTAATCAATTGCCAACCACACCTAAAAAATGCAGGCATTCTAATTGTGATGTGAAAAAGATTCAATTAATCCTACCAAATCCCAAATTATACTTTTTGTACGCAATTGTTCCCACATGAAGTCAACACCTACCTAGCTCAGATCTGTTTTAGACATCTCCAAACTCGGTAACCCAAAAGGACAAAACTATTTTGCATAAATATAATATCCATGTAATTATCTCATCATGTAATAATAAAGTTAGCTATAAAACACATGTCCTGAAATTCAGTAACCATTGTTTTTTATCCAAGTAAAGCCAAAAGGTGGGTGGGTGAGACTTGGGTTAGATGTTTCATGTGGGTCGTACACGGCGGTTTTGACCACACCTTTCTCATCCCCACCCACCACAACAGACTGTATGTATGCGGATACGTATCAATATTAACAATACAGTTAAATTAGTAGACGATATAAAACAGTATTAATCGATATGTCAATGAATATAAAGAGAGAAGAATTTACGTGGGGTTGGGATGAAACGGAGTTCAGGGAAGATATGGATGAGAAAAACAAGCGTAGAAGGAGTGGCGACGTGGTTGAGAGTCCACACGAGGGCGTCCATGCTCGACGACTCACTATCTGTCTTCCCCACCGCCACATAAACCACATCTTCTCCGTTTTGGAAATCAAAGGAGAAGACACTGCCATCGAATTCTTCTTTGATCGCCGGCATAGGCTCTCTGTTGTCGATCTCAAACACCTCGCTCCAACTCTCTTCTTCTTTTTCTTCTTCTATCTCACATATGCTGCTAAAATTTCTCGTCTCAGTATTGCTCTGCCCTTCATCAGAATGCGAATCTCCGGTCTCTATCATGACTGCTGTTATTTTTTAGGGTAAACAAAAACCCAAAACGATGAAACAACTTGATGATGATGATGATGATCACAAGTACTTCAACCTGTTGCTAAGAATCTTGGATTGCATCAGAGTTTCTTCGTAGTTTGAGAATTGAGAGAGAGAGAGAGAGAGAGAGAGAAAATTATATACGAGAAGACAAACAAACTAGTATAACAGCAGTGCATACAAGTCTTTAGAATCTTAAATATCAGTCTATACGTATTTCACCAGAGTTTTAACTATGATATGTGTGGGTAATTATTCAGTAATAAGATGTTATAGAATTTAAATTTTAAATAAATAATTAAATGTCTGTGGGGTCTGCAATGTAGACATTTAGTCATTAGTGCGGGGTCTGTAATATAAGACATTTAATTATTTATTTGGTAAAAAATTTAATATTTTTAACATTATATGAACATGTGATGTGGGGTCTGTAATATAAGATATTTAGTCATTTATTTAGTAGAAAATTTAATATTCCTAACATTATCTATTTTGGAGTATCGACATGTGATATTCTATAGTATTATGATTGGTGAAAAAGTAGATAGGTGAGGTGTTGTATTGAGTGATTAAAAAACATGAAAGTCATATTACATAATGATTAATTAAGAAATAAATTCACGTAATATTATAAAAATATTGAACAATTTCTCTGTATTGTGTCAGTCAATGGGGGTGTTTGTTTCAGCTTTTCAGAGCCAACTTATGATTTTTAGCTTTGAAAAAGTTATTTTGAACTGTTTGATTAAAATTATTTCAAACAGCTTCTAATTCTAACAGCTTATTTTAACTCAAAAAAGCTGATTCTGAGAAGCTGCTCACTCCTTGCTTCTGATTATCAGTTCCTGCTGTGGACATGTTAATTTATGGTTATACTCTTAAATTTTTTTATTTTTTATTTTTTTAAAAATAGAAAAAAACTCAAATGGACTATAGATTATTATTATTATTTTTTATGAGAAATGTAGACAAACAAAAAATAAAAATTAATTGAAAAGCTATTTCACAGCTTATTTAACAAACATTACTCAGCAACTTAAATCTATAATTTAACAGCTACACTAAACAGATTGACAACTTCTAATTAAAGTCATAATCTATAATCTGTTAAGTTATAATTTATAAGCTATTTTAACAGGTACACCAAACGGGGCCAAAACGCATTGGCCCATACTTGTGTTTAAACATATATGACATGTATGATCCATTCTTAATTTAAAAATATTGATGTTATTTTTTTATGTTAAAATATATATTACTCAATTTATAATTCATGTCCTACAATAGTCCACGAATGAGCTCTCTTTGGTTATACATTAAAAATTTGGGTAAATTATAAACACACTTCTTGAGATTTATTTAAATTATAAATTATTTTTTGTGATTCTAAAAATTATATTACACCCTTTAAGGTTTCTAATTTCATAACAAATAGGTTTTTTATTAATAAATTATCAAGTTAATTAGCAATTTTTAATAATGTTTAAAATTTTATTTCAATTAATAATTCAGATAATTTTATTATTATATAGGTGAACAGTTAAAAATTTTACTTTTTCAATTAATTCTGTTAAATAAAAAATTATGACAGGAAGATATTTATAATTTTCCAAATCACATGGGGCAATTTGTATTTTAAGCAAATCCCAGGGGTCTATTTGTAATTTACCCTTAAAAAATATCAAAATTATGCTAACTATTTTTCAATATTTTCAGAATAATATTAAAGATCTTAAAAATTTTATTAAAATTTTTATCAAATATTTCATATGAATTTAAAACTTATATAAAATCCATGTTCTAAAAAAGTGCACTTTTTGACTTATTAGCTTATATGGGTTGGATTTGGGTTGAGTTTGATGTGATGTGTTAGAGAAGTGATGTGATTTAAATAAGATGATGTGACTTAAATAGGATAGTGACTTTTTGACTTTTTGTATTATTTAGGTCATGCCAAACTTGGCAGTCTCACATGTGAAATATTTAATAAAATTTTTGACACAAAATGTATTGCTCAACAAGCATTAAGCAAGGGATCACAAAGATGCATTTTGGTCTTAAAAACAAACTTGAAAAGGGGGAAATTATTAAAATTTTCAAAATATCACGTATTTCTACTTTCTAACCAATTATCGTTGAATATGTCTGTTCATGTTTCTTAATCACCTAACATCATTTCTCACCTACTTACCTTTTTTTATCAATTATAATACTATAAAATGAGTCTGGATCATCGGCCGCACTATCCTGCAGCCCTTCCTGCCACGCTTCAAAACGACGTTGTTTTGGCCAAAACGACATCGTTTTGTTTAGTGTTATTATTTTTTTCCCCCAAAAATTTGAGTTTCCTGCCCACTTTCATCTTTCTCCATCATCTGATCTGTTTAGCCCTGACAGAGAAAAGAGAGAGAGACACTAGACACAGAGAGAGACGACGACGAAGGAATACGAGGGAGAGAGAAACAACGGAGATTGGTTATTTTGTGGGGTGCTATGAACAGTTAGGGAATTGGAGAGCTCAGTGGCGGTGCGTAAGGGTAAGGTGGAGTAGAGGTTGGAAGTAATGGATGTGGAGAAGAAGAGGAAGAAGATGAAGCGAGAGAATCGGAAACCAAGGACGAGGCTGATGAGGCAGTAGAGGCAGTGGAGGACTAGCCAGAATACAGCCGCCGAAGATTCGATTATGCCGTCTTAAGACGCGTCCAACAACGGTGAGTCTCTGAAGTTGTTGTTTTAGCGATTGATGTAGCTCTGTTGCAATGCTGACAGCTTCATTTTTCTCTCTTCTTTGCTATTACCAACACACATACGCACATAGAGGGCTGATGGTGGAATGTAAATAGATGATGTGGGTATGGAGAGTTTTTTGTGAGTCCCTCCATTTGAAGTTTGGACTTTAATTTGGTGTCTGTTGTAATAGAGAGAGAGAAGGTTTGGGGAAGGGGATGGTGGCACTACAGGAAAAAGTGGATTTGGTGGCGTTTTTTTAACGACGGTTTTGTGAACGTCACTGTTTTTATTATTTAACGGCGTTTTATAAAACGCCACGTATTGTATTACACAAAACGACACCGTTTTATAATAGGAGGCGTTTAAAAACGCCTCCGAATGCGGTAGCCACACGCGCCTCTTTTTTTTCTTTTGTTGAACAATAACACGGGCCTCTCAACCCTTATTTTTGAATCAGAGCCTTTCTCTCTCTCTCTCTCAACCCTTATTTTGAATCAGAGCCTCTCTCTCGCTCTCTCTCAACCCTCTCTAAGCTCCATCAAAGATTCAAAGCGAAGATTCAGAGCGAAGCTCCATCGAAGTGATTTCGAAGCTCCATCGAAGATTCGGATCGAAACTCCATCGACGCGATTTCGAAGCTCCATGCCTGCGATTTCGAAGATTCAGATCTGAACTCTGTCGTCCCCTCGATTACTCGCATTTCAACCTCCATTGAATAGTCTACTTTGTTTCTGAACTGCAATCAGTACTCTCTCTCTCTCTCTCTGTCTCTCTCTCTGTCTGTCTCGCTCTATTTGTGATCTTTGGGAAAAATGAAGAATTACTGTATTGGCTTCAGGCACTAGTTATTTCATTACTTTTTTTAGTCAATTCTATTGTGATGATATAATACTACCAAATATATTAATAGCAATGTTAAATAATACCGGTAGCAATGACAATTTTGTAATAAGCAGAGTCGGGGAAATGATGATATAAAACTTCTGGAAAGGGATAATCAATCAGAATTTATAAGAAAATTTATAATAAGAAACCTCAGAGTATTCATTATAAGCAATAATCAATCAGAATTTTCATTTTCTGATAGCAGCAAGTCTGAATCCATCAGCATGCAACAAAAAATCAGTACATTGGAATATTGGAGGCAGGAGCTACTGCTGCTTGCACGGAAGTTTACATTTTGGCAGTGAAAAATTGAGCTACCATTAGCTAGAGAACTATTAATTACTTATTTTCAATCTCTGAGATATGGGATCTGAAATAGAGCCTTCCACATACATACTAGTTAAAGGTTTTTCATCTACACATGGGATAGTATAGACAGCATGATACAATACTCCGAATGAACGGACAATTTCCTAATACCAAACAACAGTAATATATATATATATATATTATTGAAGAGATCACTTACATGATATAGGGGCGAACCGCTAAGACTATAAAGCACAATAGTCAGCTCTGGCGCTGAAACTGTACAAGTCCACATGATGGCTTTGGATTCGGTTAACCGCAGCCTTTCAGGGTTAGAATTTCCATCTTGGAGCACCATTTTCTTCTTTTTTGAGGACTGCAGGTGCATCCATGGCTTTAGTCTGCTCATTATGATGTTGCACTGAGTACCCCTAAGCTTAACTTCAATTTCAGATCTGATAGGCGAGGTAGGCTGGAAAGTAAAGCATCCTAAATAAGTTTTAAAAAAAAAAAGTGATGCAGAAAATAATATATCCAAAGGTTGTTCAAAAGTTAACAACCATATAGCTAATATGTGCATGTATACTGATAATAGTCCAAATAGATAAAAAAATCACATTGGAGTCTAACAACTAAATTATTTGATAGCTGCACTGAGCTGTGACTATAATAGATTTTTAATGTTCCTTTTTAAACACACATCAATAGCATAAAAACCAGGCAATTGTATATACATCTATGCAATATTCATGTTTCATTTTATTTGACTCAATTCAAAGTTTAATTAAATGAACTACGTAGAAGAATTACACCTCATTGTCAATTTAGGGAACTTTTTCCTTTTAACCTTATATGTTTTTAGTAGACAAGCAAACAAAGAAGGTGATGCAAGCTCGAGTGCAAGTCCCCATAAGGTGCAGCTCCATTATTTCTTACTAAAGTTACATTCCATATATTCAGTTTTATTTCTACTAATTATAAACCCTTTTGACTCGAGTGCTAGACAATCTTCTCACATGAGTCTTATATTTTTGTGATTCTAGTTATTAACGTGGATAACTATGATTGTGATTGTGATTGTGATTGTGATTCCTCAACTAATATGATTGTGATTGTGAATGTGATTCCTCATATGGTGGTTGCTCTTTGGTATTTTTTGAATCATCATCATCATCATCATCATCAGAAGTATTCGAGCTTTGGTACACTTATTGGTTTGGGTAGTGGGTTTGAACTTCCCACATCCATGAGTTCCTGCCAAAATCA